CGCCCCGGGACGCCCGCGCTCCCGAACCCTGGCTCTGCCGAACTGAGGTTGGGGTGCCCCGGCATCCGTGTGGACTGGGACTGACCGCGGAAGGAAGGTTACAGGGGTGATGGGGGCCGGCTGGACAGGGAGAGTTGTTTGGAAGCTGAAGGCGTGTTCGTTCCCATCCCGAGAGGCGGAGGAAGGGAGTGGGCCGAGAACCACAGGCATCTCTGCCTCTCCGGGTGGTGTGCGGGGTTCCTCGGTCGGTGACTGCGAGTGCGTTCCTTCCGTGGCTAGGTAAACCTTATTCCGCCTCCCTTGGGCCTGAAGGAAGGAGAGTTACACGCCAGGAAAACTGATGGAAATTCCCTTGTTAATGTCTACCTCTGCTAGCACGTGGTTCTGACCAGGAGGATGTGTGTGCGTGCTGCGTCCGCGTTATCAGATCTTTCCTGGTGAACTCTTGCTGCAGGTACTTAATCAAAACTCCAAGTAGCTTAGGAGAAACTTGTCAGCCCGGGAGACACACACACACACACACACACACACACACACACACACACAACCTGATTTAATTCATTTTGGCTTATACATGTTCTCCTCTCACCTTTAACACTCAGTGTATCCCACTAAAAGTTTGTTGGGCCTTCCCTGGTCATTTGGAGGAGAGGATGTGCTTCTGCCAGAGGTGACTGGTGGCTGAGCAACCAGAATTCAGTGCAACTCCTAAACTTACTTTTTATCGAGAAATTTGTTTTGGATAATATCTACAACCGGGTGAAAATTGTGCACTTTATTGTTTTAGGTAAGGTGGAAATGAAATCTCTTATTTCTAAAGATTGTCTAGGATAATTTTTTACTCTGTTGTGTGAAAGATTCAACCAGCTATCAACCTGAGTTGAACAGGGCTCGACTGGCCCAATTCCAGGAAAATAAGTATAGTTTTGTACACAAAGTAAAAGTGTCTGCCTTTTAAACATCATTAGTTTCAAATGTGATTATATGTTAAGCAGTGTCAAAAATTAGCTAATGCATTTTCAGCAGTTATGTCATTCCAAGCTTATCTTATGTTAGAAATTGTCCAGAAGATTTTGTGACCACAAGTGGTTTCTTTTCTATTTATGTTTTCAATTTTTAAATTTCAGTAGTTGCACCATACAGCTTGAAGCACCTCAAGTATAAATGTTTATTTTCCTCAGCAAATAAGACCTAGAGTAAGGAAAAATAACCTTTAACAGCATTTATTTTTATTTTTCTTTTAACACAGGTTTATTTTGAACATAACTGTTGAAGTTAAAACAACAATAAAAACAACCTGGAATGGATTATTACTGTAATCTTATTTCTTCCCTGTCTTTGAGTATCAGAAGCATACTTGTGTGGGTAGTGAGAGTGAAATAAGAGTGGCCCAAGTGGAAGGCTGAGAAGTTTGCCCAAAATCTGAGATCACTTTTTAAAGTATCAACCCCGCTTTTTAATTTAGTGAAATGAAAGGCTTTAAATTTACCATCTTGGCTAAAGAATGGCAAAATCTTTGTGCCTCCCTTTTGGCACTGTATAAGACAAAAGTTGTAATGACAGAAAAAATAATATAGTACATTGACATCCCAAACAAGAGTCGAAAAGAAAGGTCACTAAAGTGAGATGAGGACAGCCATGTGAAAGATGGCCACTCAAGAGCAGAAAGGACTGTGCTCTCCAGACTCCAGGTAACCGTTGATCTGCCCTTTTCAAAATTTTGGAGTGGAGGGCCTGGCCCTGGAATAAAGTATTCTTTTTGAACTTTTCTAACAGGGATCCTAATATTCTTTAAACTACACAGTGGCTTGATGTCAAATAGCTTTATGGCTTCAGAGCACTTTTGCGTGCATTATTTCAGCTGAACACTACAGCTCTGTATGGTAGCATTTGTTCATCTTCCCATTACACAGATTGGAAAACAAATGCTTGGTGAAGTAAATGTGTTTGCTAAGATTACCCATAACTTCATTGTAAGTCTCCTGGCGGCAAAGTCTGGCTGTATGAAATGGTTACTGCAGTCTTAGCTTTGGAAGCCTTCCTTGAAATGCAAATAATAGAAATACACCCAGGTTTACCTGGAGTCCAGACTAAAAAAATGCAGTTATTTTATAACTGATATAAGTGGAATGGCTACGAAAATAGTTTCATCTTTTCCAAACCCAATTAGAATATAAAGTCCTTGCTCTAGCTGGTTTGGCTCAGTGAATAGAGCGTTGGCCTGCAAACTGAAAGGTCACAGGTTCGACTCTGGCCAAGGGCACATGACCTGGTTGCGGCTGGATCCCCAGTAGAGGGCATGCCGGAGACAGCCCATCAGTGACTCTCATCATTGATGTTTCTATCTCCCTCTCACTTCCCTTTTGAAACCAATAAAAATATATATTTAAAAAAAGAATATATAAAGTTTTTGAGGACAAAGGTCATACCTGATTTTTAATGTTTATCACAGGATGGGTTACTGTTAAGTGTGTAGTTTGTTCTCAATACCTATAGATTATTGATATTGATCCTCACCCCTTATCTACAAACTTTTGTTCTAACCAAATTCAGATGCTACCCAAGGAGGAATATTCATAATGATAACTTGTGCCATACTTAATATATTTGTGAAACAGTATATTTGTGAAACTTAATATATTTGTGAAACAATCACAACTCTGACTTCAAATTCATGAAACTGTAGATCAAAAAAGAAGCCTTGTATTAATTTAATTGAATGTTGATTTCAAAAGGCATTTTTGGGATACATGAAAGTAAGTAGTTAATGCAGCACAGCTCCAGATATATTTATACAGCCAAATCCATTAGAGTGGAAGATGGGCAATTAATGTCCACATAAATAGACACAACGATGCAGATAATTCATAGGAATGTCTGACTGCCTTTCTTCAGTGCAGTACATGGTCACCTGAATTTGCAATCAGATTTCTCTTACTCTCTCCAGGTCAGAAGCGTCCTGAGGGACACTGGGACGCTGATACTGCAGGAAGTCCTTCCAGAACAGAGACTGAGGTGTCCTGTTTCACTGTTGAACTATTCCAATAGGTGTAGATCTGAGTGTTAATATGTGAAGAGCCTGGGCAAATTCAGTCTGTAAATCAATCTCTCAGATTTGTCTAGAGATTACCTGGAAAAGCAGAGGCCTGATCAAACCAGTCGGTGTTCTCCCTCCCTTCCTCCTTACATCCTCTCCTTCTCCCTCCGTCCTCCCTCCTTCCCCCTCCTTTTCTTTCTCCCTTTCTCTTTTTGTACTTCAGGTATATCAGGAAAGCTCGGGCAATTGAAAATATAATATCAAATAAAGGAGATTGATGAAAGTAGTATTTTGAATGATGGGTGGAAGCCGATTAGACAGATGAGGTAAATATTTGTCCAGAAGGATAACCTTATCCTCTTACGCAAGTGTGAGCACTCTGAAAAAAAGACTTTCTACCTAGAATCTTCTGAGTCAATGATTCTTTCTTGAAAAAAATCCAAGCATGATTAAAGGCCAGTGATTTGCAAGGTTACATTTGCCTTAGAGTCGCATATGCAAGCCTGTTTATATAGAAATAGATTTTTGGCATCCTAAAGGTATCTCCTTTCTACTTTGCTTTATAACCAGTGCCCTGGTTTCCTAGTATACTAATTCTTGGGATAGTTTCCATAAGTTTTTAATTGCTCCATAAGATTTTATCAGTCTTTCAGTCCTCGATGTCGTACTTTCTAGCTTCATTGGCAGCCTCATAGGTGTGGTATTTTAGAATTGATGTTCAACACCATGTCTACTTTCTTCCATCCTTTTATTAAATACCCAAACATAGCGTTCTTGTTTGGCACCACTCTAGGTTGCCAAACCCTCATGTTAAAAATGCATTCCCTCGAGCCGCTTCTCTTAGCCAGTCACTTCTGTTTTCGTTTTCATTTCTCAGATCTTGAATTTTTTTTTTTCTCCTCCTGCGTCAGGGGCCAATTCGGAAGCGGCCAAAATACAGTTTTTGCGAGAGGGATGGCTAAGGCATTATATTTACATATTTGTATTCTGTTCTTCATTTGCAGTAGTAATTCTTTAGCCTTTGTCATGAGGGCCCACATCCATTTTTGGCCAACAAATGGCAGTTCCTGTTATTAGCTATGAATAAGGTTATTCTTTCTTAAATATATTCCCTTAGACTGATAATTCCGTGAATTATTACATGAACTACCTAAGAGAAGGGATTCCAGGTAAGGGATTCCCACCCCTTCTCTGTTTAGGCTTCCTTAGTCCACACTGAAACAGTTAAGAGTGTGTACGAACCTAGGGAAGGCCTTTTGAAAAAGTCAATATGTGATTCCACGGCGTTTCCTCTGGCCCTCATGAT